TAAATATAAAAATATAAAAGAGATGTACAAAGATATCGACGAACATATTATTTTAGGTAACAGAAAAAATACTTTTCTATTTATAAAATTATATTTTATATATAATTATATTTATTATATTGTATATTGTATATATAATAAAGTATATATATATTTCTTATATAAAAAGTTAATTAAATTGAACTTTTGTTTATTATACATGTTTTATTAAAATAGAATTAGATATTTCAAGTTTAATAATAATTTATTAGAAGATACATAAAAACCTTACATAAATGTAACGCGCGCGCGCTCACACACATATATAGTTCTATTCTATATTCTATTTTATTTAAAAATTTAGTTTTGTACATTTAAAATTGTATTTATAATATTTGTAATTTATATGTTTCATTATTTCTTTTTCAAAACTATATTTTATTTGTAATTCATATATTTTTGTATATATTGTAAAGAAAAAAACTGTTATGATTTTTTTACGGATTCATTAACTACATTGAATCGATAATGAATGAATATTTTTAATTTTTACATTTTTAAATATATTATATATTATATATTATAAATTATATATAAATATATTATATATTATATTTCATGAAATTATTCTAAAGATACATTATAAAGTAAAAAAGTATATTACCTATATTTTTTTACATTAAAAATTTAAATATAATTTTGAAAAAAAAAAAGAATTGTTTTCAATATCTTGTACTTTGTTTCTGATCATATCATTTCAAGAACCAAACATAGAAAAGCGAATAATAGAAGAAAAATAAAAATAGATTAAAAATTGCGAAATAAACGCCATTTCCATTACTGTAGAATGTATGAAGGAAAGGAATAATTATTATAAAGAAGGAAATAATAGAAAAAAAATGAAAATTGAGTAAAAAATTAATAATTAGCGCCATCTCTTGATGCCAAAAAAATATTTTTTTAAAAACATATAAAAGATGGCGATCATATTCAGTTCTTGTTCTACTTTATTTAAAGGAAATATATTTCATACTCAAGAGATGGCGCTGATTCACAATTTTACTCTTCTACCTTAAAAGAGATGTTATTAGTACTCAAAAGATAGCGCTGATAGATAATTCTTATTTTATATTTATTCTTTTCTTATTATTAGTTCTTATTTATATCACTTTCTAAATTCTGGAGCATTCTGAAGATGGCGTTGATTCTCGCATTTTCACTCTATTTCTGTTTTTCTTCCAATATTCTCTTTCATCTACATTACTGTACATGTTCTATTATTTTTTGCCTAATCTTTCAATTTAAAATTTTAATAAAATCCATTCGATCCAATTTTTATTTAATATTATAAATATTATAAACATATCTATACATATCTATTTTTTTCCTCTATACAATTAATATCATCGCATATTGTTTTATATTTAAATTTTTACACAGCGTAGAAGATATTTAATTTTTTTTATCAAACGGGATATATACAAATATCCCGGATATATATACGAGATTTTTACAAATTTTAAAAATCGCGAATACTATTACAACTCTTTTAATATGTTACTTTCGTATTATATATTTTTTTTCCTCTAAAGCACCGTGTCTCGAGAAACTATGACTCTTATCTCTGACATGTATCCCTTATGCATGTGTTTCAATATTCCCAACACGATATACCACAATTGCAAGTACTATAACTATATATACTTATCTATATTTTTTACAAGTGTATGACAGGTGTTGCGCAAACGAGGCCAAGTATCTATTTTGAAATGTCATGTCGACTGACAAAATAGCAATCCAACTAAGGAAACAGACGGAGAAGATTTTTGCGAATGAATGGCAAATGGATAACACAGTCGATTGATAACTGTGTGCATTAATTTCAAATAAGGTCCTTAAAGCTTGACCATCAATTCTTTTTTTTTTTTTTTGAATGTTAATTATTGTTCTCATAGGAATCGAAAATTTAACGAATCTGTACAGGATTCGTATGGTGATGATATGAGATTGTACCATATTAAAGATATTTATAAAAAAGAAAAGAATTTTAATTTGAAATTTGATATGTATACAAATCAGTTACTTGATATGTATACATTTCATTTACAAATGTAAGTGAAATCTAATAGGAAATATTCATTTTATAGGATTCGATTAATTCCAGAGTTATCATTACAATTTATTGTAAAACTATTATAAAAATAGTATATTGTAAAACTTGGGATATTATGAATTGAAAGAAATTTAAAAAATTTGAAGACAGAAATATGTTATATTGATAAAATTCCATAGTGATAAAATATACGATTAATTAAAAGTAAAATTGAAACTTTAAATATAATAAATCTAAAAGAAACAATAGGAAAAAAATTTTTAATATCTAACAAAATTTTTAATAATTGTTTTTGCAAACCTTTCGTTAATTAATTAATCATAAAACTTTACAACCCATTAATTTCATTCATAGCAAAAAAAAAAAATTATTTATCATCATATAAATTGAGATTAGTAATTGAGATTACTATCGTTAAAATAAAAGGGGGAGGGAGAAGAGAAATCAGGAAAAACCTTTAAATCGAGGAAACATCATTCAAAACTCTTATTTATCATTGAACATAAAATAAACAGAGTCCGTAAAATATCCGAGTATTGAAATAAACGTTTGACAGAACGATAAAGATCAATTCCAAAAGATATTGAATCACATATATTTTCGACCGACTTTAAATTAAAAAATCCGATTTCTTTTTTCGCTTAAAAAAATATTTTTAAAATTTACAAAAAACTACAAAAACGATGCAAAAAAAAAAACTAAAACCCCTTAAAACAACCTGACTCGTTTAACACACGTCACTTCTTTTTCTTATTCCCCATTCGACCCCTTCAATCCCCTCGATCCCTTTCCTTGGCAGCACAAGAGGCTCCTCTTTTGCAGGACGAAGGGCATATCCGAAAAATAAAAGAGTCTGAACTCCCTTCTTTCTGCCTCTCGACCCTCGAGTGAGGGTACGCACCATGCGTGGAATAAAGTGGACCACATTGTCGGCGGAAATTGCCTTTGCAATCTTCAGAAGGCTGCCTTCCATTCGGTCGCCACCTACACGAACTTGAGTTTTTTTTTCTGGGCGGAAGTTGCACGTGGGACGAAAGAAGGTAGAAGTCTCGTTTCGCCGCACCTATGACGACGACGACGACAACGACGACACCCTCTATGAGCAGACTGTTATCTGGGAGGTCTCTTCAGTTCAGCTAGAAACTGGATCTGGAAACTTTATGGATGGATGAGACACAATTCCGGCGAAATTGTTTAACCTGAAAAGCATACGAACGAGATAGATTGCCCTATTGATTAATGGAAATTAGGGATCGAAACTCTTCCACTTTTTTGTGCAATAAATAAATATTTTAACAATTGACAGATTTCTATAGATTTTTTTTCATTTCGAAGAGTACGATATTGTTTCATCAAGTCAGTGTTTAATCCGAGAATACCTTCGAGAATATCGAGAATATTCCCCATTTGGAATACTTTTCATTTTTTTCGGCCGATTAAAACTTGAAACACAAACTTTTTATTTCGGATCTTTATTCAAAGAAACGAAGGAAATGGATTTTCTCGTGCGGTATCCACGTGCTCGTGCGCGCATTTTTCCTCATGTGAAAACGACAAACGGCGGCCATGCTTGATGACTGCAGAAGCTCCTCTGCCGTATCATAAAGGCCCATCCCCACAACGCTTTCATTTCCACGGTTTCAGATTACAACACGCTAAAGTACTTTTCTTCTTCGCTACGATCGTTCCTTCCGTGAATACTGGAAATACTTGCTAACGTGCCTGGCAATACGATTTAGACGAACGCTTTCCCGCTTTTATCTTTTTCCTTTTTCTCCTTCTATCGCAATATGTATCTACAATCGAGATTCTCTATTAACTGCCGTAATACAGCAGTAAGAGATAAGTATATACGGAATCTTTGTTCTATGAAAT